ATTTTTACATATTTGCGTGACTGTTCTCTCGTTTTTTTGACAATCACGATTTTGTTTGTTTGTTTCTTTCTTAAATTCTCTGTTCAATTCTTTCTTTTACATATTCTTTCTCTTGTTTCGCACATTATTTTATACCGATGTTTTCATTCTTTCTTTCTTTCTTTCTTTCGTCATTTATTTTTTCTTTTTCTTTGTTTGTTTGTTTCTTTTTTCTTTCTTAGATGGTCTGTTCAATTCTTTCTTTTACATGTTCTTTCTTTCGTTTCACACATTCTATTTATACAGATTTTTTCTTTCTTTCTTTTTTCTTTCTTTCTTTCTTTCTTTCTTTCGTCCTTTCTTTCTTTTGTAGGTTGTCGATTCAGTTCTTTCTTTTATATGTTCATTCTTTTTTATCACGATTTGTCTTTCTTTCTTTCTTTCTTTCTTTCTTTCTTTCTTTCTTTCTTTCTTTCAGTGCATGTTTGTTCTTTATTTTACATATTCTTTCTTTCTTTTTTATTGGTTATTACCTTCTTTCTTTTTATAACACACTTTATCCCCTGCATTAAACAAATACCCAACTGTAATTAAATGATTTCTTCTCATTAACCTACGTAGAATCAATGTTTTCGTCCAAATAATCAACAGTGACAACAATAATATGCCCCAGGATTTGATCCAGCATTTCCACAATTCCTGTCTCCCTTCTTTATATTTTTTATATCTCCTATTTTCCCTCTCACTTCTCTCTCCCTCACATCCCCCTCTATTTATTTTTATTCGCTTCTGATCCTTTTTAAATCCCTTTCTTTCTTTCTTTCTTTCTTTCTTTCTTTCTTTCTTTCTTTCTTTCTTTCAATGTCCCGATGTCTTTAGTGAACATTCAGGTCCGCGTTTTCTCCACACGTCAAAGGCGAGAACAGTCTGACAAATTCTTACCAATGAAAAAATCGTCATGAACAATGACAGCAGCTGCCGGCTTCCCATTATTGACTGAAGCCAGCAGCCGACATTCTTTCGCGGTCTTATATCCGCCATCTTAAATTCTTTTTCAGTCGTCCAATATATTACTCTGGTTTTTCCTTTCTTTCAAGCAAACAATCTTGCTTTATTTTTTCTTTTTGTTTTATTTCAACAACCATTTTTAATTTTATTTTTTTACTTTTTCCTCATAAGTAAATGAACAAACCATGATTTTAATAATCAGTTATCTTTCAGTTTGTGTAGTGGTTAGAACATAAATAGATCTTTGGTTTTTACCAACCTCTTCTTTAACGACATACTAATATCAATAAATGCGTCCAACACGACGTAATTAGGATTCTTTGCGTAATCTTGCCTACCGCAAAGATATTAAAAACGCTTCCTGATTTATCATCGATACCTAAAGTCTTACTTATTTTAAATTTTTTTTAATAATTTCATCCCAAGCAAGGCAAGAAAACAACTAAGACGCAAGGATTACTGAGTGTGAAAGAATATGTGACAAGGCAAAAAAATGACTATGGGGAGAGAACAGTAAAAGAACGAGGCTTCAAAATATAGCGATTGACACTGTATTTAAATTTTTGAAGATCAACAGTCAGATGAAACATTTGAATTCAAAGCTGTGTTCGTCTTTTTTTTTCTTTCTTTTTTTTTTTTTTTAAATCATCTCACCCCAAGCAAGGCAATAATGCGACTATGACACAGGAGATTACGGGGAGTGAAAGAGAATGAGAAGACTTTAGTTATGAGAATTGAGAAAAGGAAAATAAATGAACAGGAATCAGGAAGACTGACTATGGCGATTCATGTTGCTTTAAAATTTTTGAAGATTGTAGGCAACAGGAAAGCAAGAAATCGGAAGGGATTTCCCCAGGTTAGAAGTGCGAAAAAAGAAACTATTAGAGTAGAACAAACGGTTGCATTTAGCTAGTTCAACTCAGAAATGGCGAGGCTTAGTTGCCAATTTAGTAGCCCGCTTAAATTTATGCAGACGAGGTGTTAAGGGAGGAAAGTAATATTTATTTTGTAAAATGCAAAAAGTAGGGATGGGAAAAGCCGGTCTTCATCTGTCATAATTAAACCTAGCCACACATACCACTGTACTCTTTACACCAAAAGTAACATATTCTTGCTTACCATTCTTACTACAGCCACCACAATACCCCAGAGTCTCTATGAAGGCCTAACTAGTCACCATATGTACAATTTGTCTGTACGGGATGAATAAAATTAAAAATTAAGGAGGACAGTTCATCATAACAAACGCCATGAAAATATTTATAGAAAAGGCAGACCTGTCATTCTGGTGTAGCCAGAAGAAGTGATTCCTGTCGACTATTGCGGCTGAACAGACGGGAGAGAACCAAGGACATTAGACACTTTGTGACGCATTGGTTCTACATAGTCTTTACGCCAATAATCAAATCATGGGTAGTGAACTGAACTTTTGCTCCCTCATACGTCGAAATCGACAGTAAAATCTCTCTTTCTCTCTCTCCCATATATATATATATATATATATATATATATATACACAAAGAAATAATCACGCATTCTATTTTTACAAGTGTTTTCAGTTAATATGTCATGAACTAAGTATATAGTTCAATTAATATAGTATTATGTCTTAGTAGTAGTTTTTTTATAGGATTTTTTTGTACTGCGGTCGATAGTTTTTTATAAACATAAAACATTAGGCAGCATATAATTTATATACAAAGAAATAATCAAGCATAGAATCAATCAGTAATATTAATGCTATTATTGGTGACATCCATCGCTAGTAGTGTATAATGTATGCATTAAAATACTGAATATAGATTACGTGGGTTTATCACAGCACAAGAAAAGTTCAAATAAAATTCTCACTTAAAATTTTGAAAAACTTAGCGTTGCGTCTTTGCACGTTCCGATATTGTACACAACCGTCAATAATAGCACATTCTAAAAAAAAACATCTTTCGGTCTACAAACAATTATTTCGTCTCCAAGTTTTTGATTTTATAAGGAAAAGATATGCCTGACGATGAATAAAGGAATATTCGAAAGTACTTGCATTTAAAAAAAATATAAACTGGAAACAACAAACAACAGTTTTATGAATGAGGATCACATCATTCTATGGATTAACAGTATTTTAATGCATACATTATACACTACTAGCGATAGATGTCGCCAATAATAGCATTAATATTACTGATTGATTCTATGCGTGATTATTTCTTTGTATATAAATTATATGCTGCCTAATATATATATATATATATATATATATATATATATATATATATATATATATATATATATATTCTACACAAAAAACAAGGCAATAAAGTCACTGCTGCAAAATGTGGGAAAGAATATGAGAAAAATATTAAGAACGAGAACAATAAAAGAACAGGAATTAAGAAGACAGAAGATGACGATTTGACATGGCACTTCAAATTTTTGAAGAGCAAAGTTGACTGGAGAGCAAGAATTCAGAAGAGAGTTCCACAGTCAAGAGGAAACGTTTAACATAGAACATATGATTACATTTAGCCATTTCACCAGTAAAAGTATGAGACATTGCCGCCAATCTAGTAGTACAGTTAAATTCATAAAATCTAATTAGCAAAGAGGAAAGCTATATTTATTTTAAAAAGCACAAAAATGTGGCACAAGGCCAAAATGGGGAATGGGGAAAAGGACGGTCTTCTTGTGTCTTAACTTTAATCTTAGCTAGCCACAAACACTGACCCAAACATAGCACAGTATTCCTTACACCCAAAGAATACATTCTTACTCATCATTCTTACTACATCCACCATAATACCTCATTGTCTCTATGTAGTCCTAACTAGTTCCCATATATACAATTTGTTTGTGGTGGGTATTAAGAATAACAACATTTAAAAATGAAACCCCAAAGAAGAAAGCTCATCAGAAAAAAAAATTACTATGAAAAGGCACAGGGCCATACGTTACGGCGGTGGGCAAGTGACACAAGTTGAGATGTCAAGTCAGGACCAAGAACATTGCAGATGTTTCTTTGTATTTTATCAAGAGTCTCTGAATACATAGCAGAAGAATCAGACTAGATGTTACAATAATATTCAATGCATGGACGAATGGTAGCCTCGTAAATGTGTAAGTGAGATTCTGGCGAGAGAAATTATCTAGCACAACACAGTGACTCAACTTTAGCTTATTTTATATCTCGTGCATTGGTCATCTGAAACTTTTCAGATGCCAGAAGACATAATGTATGATTGTCAAAAGTATTTTGAGGAAAGTGTTGTTTGTATGATGTCCTTGTTGCGATTGAAAGATGAATTATGAACTCGATGTATTCAGGAACTTATATTGCGTGACAAATAATAATAATAATAATAATAATAATAACAATAATTACGGAGATAGGACCTGTTACAATTCTATAGGACTACACAATACACACTGACAGAACAATCAAAGCCAACCACCCAGATATTGTTATTAAAGACCACAGGCAAAAAAAGTGCCTCCTTATTGATATGGCAGTCCCTGCAGACTGCAATATATCTTTGAAGATATTCAAAAAGCTGTCAAATACAAGGACCTTGAAATAGAAATCTCGAAAATGTGGCATATGGGAACATCAACAATCCCTGTTGTAGTTTGAGCCCTAGGAAAAGATTGCAGTAGACTAATTGAAGGGATTCCTGGAAGTCCATGCCTCAAGGAGATACAAAAAATTGTTCTGACAAGTACAGCCCACACTTTACGAAAGGCTTTATCTATGTAATTTTTTTTTGTGTGGAAAGTGAAATGATGCCATTTCTAACCTTAGGTCCCTGGGCGGGACCCGGAAAGAAATGTGTAAACGCCAGAAATCAAAGAAAAAAATAATAATAATAATAATAATAATAATAATAATAATAATAATAATAATAATAATAATAATGTTCAATTCGCTGTATGGAGTGCAAAATCTGCAGTAATATGAAAGAAAAATTTGAAAACATTATTTTCAGGTCGCAGTAAAATAATTTGTGTAGAGTCTTAATCACTTACGACTTGAAGGGAGATGGCATTAATAAAACAGATAGATAGATAGATAGATAGATAGATAGATAGATAGAATAGATAGATAGATAACTTAAAATGAACGCTTTAGGATATTTCTACAACTTGCTCTTTCTATCCTGTTTTGTAAAAATATAATTTTTGGCAATGTTTAACCTTCGTGCCCGACCAAAAAAAAAAAAAAAAAAAAAAGATGTGTCAAAAGGACGGTTATTCCCTTGACTCCGCTATTACTGGATACACGTTTGCCTCCCTCAGCAATGTTTATTTACAAGAAAATATCTAAACAAAGTACAATGCGATATTTATTATTTACCTTTTATAAAGAGATTTATTATTCACAATTTTATAAAGAAGTAAAATTGAAAAGAAATGTTTCTTATAAAAAATATAAAAATGACAAAAATGATTTTAAAAAATCATAAAAATTGCATCAAAATATATAAATAAACAACAATTTTACATTTATTAATAATATTTTTCTCATATTCTCTGACACTTTATTGCCTTACTTGGGGTGAAATGATTAAAAAAATACTGTTTAATATATTTATTATCAATTCTCAAGAATAAATAAAATGTAGAAATCTTCTTCCATATATTATATTTTTAAACATTATTTGTCGATATGATATTTTAAAAAAATATTGTCCATATGTTATATTTTAAAACAATATTTCTTCATATGTTATATTTTAAAACAATATTTGTCCATATGTTATATTTTGAAAAATATTTGTCCTTATTTTATATTTTAAAACAATATTTATCCATGTTATATTTTAAAACAATATTGTCCATATGTTATATTTTAAAACAATATTTGTTCATATATTAGATTTTAAAACAATATTTGTCCATATGTTATATTTTGAAAAAAATATTTGTCCATATGTTATATTTTAAAACAATATTTGTCCATATGTTATATTTTAAAACAATATTTATCCATGTTATATTTTAAAACAATATTTGTCCATATGTTATATTTTAAAACAATATTTATCCATGTTATATTTTAAAACAATATTTGTCCATATGTTATATTTTAAAACAATATTTGTTCATATATTAGATTTTAAAACAATATTTGTCCATATGTTATATTTTGAAAAATATTTGTCCATATTTTATATTTTAAAACAATATTTATCCATGTTATATTTTAAAACAATATTTATCCATGTTATATTTTAAAACAATATTTGTCCATATGTTATATTTTAAAACAATATTTGTCCATATGTTATATTTTGAAAAAATATTTGTCCGTATGTTATATTTTAAAACAATATTTGTCCATATGTTATATTTTAAAACAATATTTATCCATGTTATATTTTAAAACAATATTTGTCCATATGTTATATTTTAAAACAATATTTGTTCATATATTAGATTTTAAAACAATATTTGTCCATATGTTATATTTTGAAAAAATATTTGTCCATATGTTATATTTTAAAACAATATTTGTCCATATGTTATATTTTGAAAAAATATTTGTCCATATGTTATATTTTAAAACAATATTTGTCCATATGTTATATTTTAAAACAATGTATGTTATATTTTAATAAGGATTGCCGAGGGAGTCAAAAATGTATGCAGTAATAATAGTGTCGCGGTTATAATAACCCCAAAGAAAGCTTATAGGCTTTTTTTTTGTCATTTGGCTTGTAGTCTGAGAAGAATTTGAAGATGGTTGCTACAGTCACTATTTTTTTTTGTCTTTCTTTGTACACGCCGCTTTATGATATTTGTCCTTTTATTCGTCAATTAAGACTATACTTTCTTTTTCTTCTTCTAGCACGACGAATTATGATGGCAAGAAAAAGGCGAGAAGATCACAGGCTAAGTTTCCACTGAGCGGGAAGGCCAGAGAAAGGAAAAAGAGTAAAAATAAGAAGGAAAAGAAGAATAAAAAGCAAGGGGATAGAGAGAGAAAGCGTGATAGAGGCACAGAAAGAGAGAGAGAGAGAGAGAGAGAGAGAGAGAGAGAGAGAGAGAGAGAGAGGAAAAGAAAAAAGTAAGACGCAGAGAAATAGAGTTCGCGAGAAAAAGGGGTGGAAATGAAAAGATGAGAGTCTGAATGATTTAAGTAAGAAAGAGAGATAGATAAATGTAGTTAGCAAAGATAAAAGATATATTTTGAAGATAGAAAAAAGAAAGGGAAAAGGAAATATAGAATTTGAGAGAAAATAGGGATGAAAAGCTATCTCGAATAACAGTTCTAAAAAATGAGACTGAAAAAAATAATAGAATAATTAAAACACTTATATAGGAATGAAACGCATTTACATCGATGAGTGGGTACAAGCGAAAAAAAAAACCGGAAGTGAACGAAAGTTTCCGGAAGTGAACGAAAGTTTCCGGAAGTGAACGAAAGTTACCGGAATTTGCTCCTTTTTTTATTTGCTATTACCTCTAAATTTAAACCGTAAAGAAACAAAATAATAACTCATTTCACGGGATACATTTTCTTTATTGTTTCGTTAAATTCCAATATTTCTTTTTAATTCAACCCCCAAATGATGATATTGTCTCTTTTTACTGCCCGCTTAAATTAACGACAAATTACGACCCATTTTAAATAAATGGTATTTTCCTCCTCGATATTTACGGAGGGCGAAAGTCAGTTGACTTTGTTAAGAACATTTTTGATCAATTTGAAATCTTCCAACCCTTTGCTACTTTACTTATAATTGATTGCATCTCAAAAATCTGCTTGGGATTTTGATTTGCGTAGCTGAAAGTTCAAAACAAGTTTTTTAGAAAGAGCACTTTATCGTAAGAAAGAAAAAAATACTGAAAGAAAAAGGTGCTTTAAAAATGGGGCGTTAATAAGAGGAAAATATCGGGGAAAATGAAGAATGATTGAATGTGAAATTCTGTTGAATTGAAAGAAATTGAAAGGAAAAAGGGAAAGAGAGATAGGGAGAGGGAGAAAGAAGGAGAGAGAGTTCTCTTGTACTGAAAAAAAGAAAGATAGAAGAACAAGAGGGTTCGAGAGAGAAATTTTGTTGTACTGAAAACAAGATAAAGAAGGAGGAAGGAAGAGTGAGAGGGTGCTACTGCACTGAAAATAAGAGAAAAACGAAAGAGGGGGATAACGCGAGTGAGGGAGGGAAAGAGAGAGTTGTGTTGTACAGACATCAAGAGAAAAGAAAGAGAGGAGAACGAGGGTGTTTGTGTTTGTGATAGAAGAAGAGGTTGGAGGTAGAGTGGACTGCATTGTACCGAAAACAAGAGAAAAAGAAAGCAAAACGAAAGAGTGAGAGAAAGGGGAAAGAGAGAGAGAGAGAGAGAGAGAGAGAGAGAGAGAGAGAGAGAGAGGGGGTTCTGTTATACTGAGAACAAGAAAAAAAGAAAGATAGGAGAACGAAAGAGAGATAGTATAGAGAAATGCAACGTGACATAGATAGATAGATAGATAGATAGATAGATAGATAGATAGATAGATAGATAGATAGATAAAACAGTTGCTGCTAAAGTGACAGAGGAGGAGAACCTAGAAATACTTACAGTAGCAAAAAGAGAGCGTGTGGAAAGAGAGGAAGCGTTCACTTGTATTGAAAACGAAAGAAAAAAGAGAGAGTGTGAACGAGAAGGAAAGAGGTAAGATTTGAATAGAGAAATGTAACAAGGCTTAAAAAGAGAAAAAGACAGACAGACAGATAGATAGATAGATAGATAGATAGATAGATAGATAGATAGGATAAAGCAATTGATCCTAAAGAAACAAACAGGAGGGAACGTCCCAAAATTAAAAAGAAAAAAAAGCTGGTAAAACAAAAGTGAGTGGGAGGTCGAGAGAGGAAGGGAGAGGTAGAGAGTGAGCGAAGCGGTGAGAAGTAAAAGGAACAGAAGAGAGGAGAAAAAGAAAATATGTCGAAAGAAAAAAAGATAAAGCAAAAAATGGAGGAATAGAGAGAGAGAGAGAGAGGGTAAGATAGAGAGAGGGAGAGAGTGGGGAGGAAAAATAAACATAAATTAAGGGTGACCTACTCCTATACTAAAATTGGTTAAGACTTATATTGATAATAAGTATAGATATATACACAGATAAACATAAATACATATATACAGAGATAGATAGATAGATAGATAAATAGATAGATAGATAGATAGATAGAAATTGAGAGAGGTCAACAAGATAGATAGATAGATAGATAGATAGATAGATAGATAGATAGATAGATAGATAGATAGAGTGAGTGAGTGAGTTGAAAAATATACTGACTTCAAAATGACTGCCCGGAGTGTGTATCTTTTTGAGCGATTTAAATCAATGCTTAACCGCTCAAATGAAGACGAAACAGTCCACTTCGTCAAGTACTCCCAGTTTGAGAACGAGAAAGAACTGTCCGAATTATTTGAGGAAAAAAAATTTGGGAGCATTTCCGAGGACATGAACAATGGCACAAAAGAAGCGAAGCCTCCACCACTAACCAATGGAAATGTAGAATCTTTAGAGAACAACCACGAAAGAAACCAAATCACTGCCTGGCAAGCCGGGTGGAACGTCACCAACGCCATACAGGTAAGAAAACTATTTAACTTATTTGTCATCTCAGGAAAAAAGATGCTATCATTTCCGAAACGAGATCCCATGCGGACTTTTGATGGTATTCCTTGATTATCATAAAGAAATATGTTCCTGAAATGATTCTGTTCACTCTATAAAATCTGCGACAAATCCCTTGCCGTTTTTTCCTTTCCAGTCGTTTCTCTCACAGACGTGTCGTCGCTCCCCTCTGTCTTTTCTACAAATACTTTCACGGTAACTGCTACTGCGAGCTACTTTCTCTCGTTCCCAGACTGCATGAATTTAAGTGTGCTACTAGGCTGGCATCTCGGCCCCATGCTTTTACTGTCGAAACGGTTAAATTTAGCCGTCTCTTCTACTCCAATAGCTTCATGTCTCGCACAACCCGTCTGTGGAATTCCCTTCCTGTTACTTGTATCCCTGATAGCTATAATCTCCAACTATTCAAATATAATGTCAATCGACATCTCCAGATGCCTTGATCTATTCCCTGCCCTTCTTTTCATCCTTTCCTCCATCACGCCTCTTTACTCCTGCTCTCACTCCCTTGCGTGCTAATGGCTTCCCGCCTTGCTTGGGGTGAAAAGTTTAAAAAAATTCTTTTGTGAGTCCTGTTTTCAAGAACTCGGTTGGAAACATCTAAGTATGGCTTAAAACATCTCACTTCACTTAAAACATCTTAATATGGAAACATCTCAATATGGCTTAAAATATCTCACTTCACTTAAAACATCTCAATATGGAAACATGGCAATATGGCTTAAAACGTCTCACTTCACTTAAAACATCTCAATATGGAAACATCTGAATGTGGCTTAAAACATTTCAATTCACTTAAAACACCTCAATATAGAAACATCTCAACATGGCTTAAACATCTCATTTAAAACATCTCAATATAGAAACATCTCAATATGGCTTAAAACATCTCGATATGGAAACATTTCAATATGGCTTAAAACATCTCACTTCACCTAAAGCATCTCAATATGGAAACATCTCAATATGGCTTAAAACATCTCACTTAAAACATCTCAATATAGAAACATCTCAAAATGGCTTAAAACATCTCGATATGGAAACATTTCAATATGGCTTAAAACATCTCACTTCATTTAAAATATCTCAATATGGAAACATCTCAATATGGCTCGATATGGAAACATTTCAATATGGCTTAAAACATCTCCATTCACTTAAAGCATCTCAATATTGAAACATCTCAATATGGCTTAAAACATCTCACTTAAAACATCTCAATATAGAAACATCTCAACATGGCTTAAAACATCTCACTTCATTTAAAACCTCAATATAGAAACATCTCAATATGGCTTAAAACATCTCAATATGGCTTAAAACATCTCTAGAAACATCTCAATATGGCTTAAAACATCTCGATATGGAAACATTTCAATATGGTTTAAAACATCTCACTTCACTTGCAACATCTCGATATGGAAACATTTTAATATGGCTTAAAACATTTTATTTCACTTAAAGCATCTCACTTCGCACTGTCTTCTTTCAGACAAACAATATGGCTTTCGTTTCTCTAGGTAAAACCATCAATGTCATGACAGTTATTACTGAAAAAATCTGTCGGGCTTTCAATAAAAAAGTTGAAGATCTAGCTCTGGTTGCCGATATCTCGAAGCCGTTTGACAAGGTTTAACATGTTGAAGCGTCATGGTATTCCCTGAAAAATGTTTGATCTGATCCAATATTTCCTAACTAAGAAATCGTGCAATGAATGTCGCTGGTGTACGACCACTCTTCGAGATTCTTTCACATTAAGACGGGTGTCCTCCAGCGACTCTATCATTGGACCTACTTTGTTTCTTATTTTCCAGTCTTCCCAATGCCATCAATTCCCAACTCGGTATCTATACTGATGACACAGCTATTTACTCTTAACTGACATATTAACAGTTACTGCCGAAAGAGTCTATCAAGCTTTAGATAAGAATGTTGAAGTTAGAGCTGTGGCTTTGGGTATATCTCGAAGGCATTTGAAAGGGTTTTGCATACCGGTCTTCTTCGTAAGTTGAAAGGTTATGTTATTTTTGGACGAATTCTCTATTTGATTCAAACTTATCAAATCCCGAAATGAAAGTTATCTTTAATGGCCACTCTTCTAGATCATTTTATATTAATACACTATATAGCTATATCCTTGGACGTATGTTGTTTTCATCAATGACCTTCCTGATGTCATCAGTTCCCAACTCGGTATCTATACTGATGACACAGCTATTTACTCTTGTCTTAATAGTAAGTCCGATTGGTTCAATAAAGTGAAATTGGTAGTTGTTTTCGAAAATTACATCCAGTTTGTTGTTAAATGGGGCAAGAAATGGTTTGTAAATTTGAATGCTTCTAAAACGAACCTGCTTTCCTTCAGTCATTTTAGACAATCATTTTTGCCTCCCCTCAGCATGACTGATGCTAATCTCCAGGAGAGCAACTCATTGTGCCTTCTTGGTCTCACATTTTCCATTGACATGAAGTGGAATGATTATATTGAATCAATTGTTAGGTTTGCTGCTAGGAAGGATGGTTCTCTGTGTCGTGTCAGGCAATATTAGAATCCATTTTGCAGCTTTATAAATTTGCTATTCATCCATGCACTGGATTTTGCTGACACATCTGATCTGATGCTCCTGTTAGATACCTCGGGATTCTCGACAAAATCAAAATAAGGGTCTGTAATGTTATCGGTTCTAACCTGGCATCTCAGCTTCAGTCACTTTCGCACCGCCGTAACGTAGCTCCCCTGTGTCTTTTATATAACTGTTTTTATGGCAATTCTTTTAATGAGCCATCCTCTTTTGTATGAATTGTACAGCTAGATGGGCAACTCAGTCTTATCATTTTACTTTGTAAATAACTAGATGTAATCGTACGTTCTATTCTAATACTTTTCTCTAGCGCACTTCTCACCTGTGGAAACCTCTTCCGGCTTCTGGCTTTCCTGTCAATTAATCTTCAAAATTTTAAATTCAACATAAATCACCATTGTCCTTTCTCGGTGACCCCTTCCGTCTCAGTGACACTAAGGCCTTGCTTAGAGCGAAATGATTTAAAATAAGATAAAACAGTGAATTATTTTATATCTTTATGAAAATCTATTTTATTATTCTTGTTCTTGCCTATGTATATCTTACTTTCATTGCATCTTCCAATATATAATCTATTACAATGGCAAACGATAATAATATTTAAAGAATTATGTTACATTTTAATGAAGATAATACGAACTATGACGAACTATGACAATTTAATCGTCGAAAAGACTGTATCGCTGATGTAATGAATAAGGCAAATTCCGCTTTCTTGAGACACAGAAGATCAAACGAGTCATTTCTTGCCTAGGAGTAGAGGAAGTTGTACGTGTTCATGTTACACTGTGGAAAGAAAATCAGCGAAAGGATCAGCGGAAAAACATCGAGATTTGTGCGAAGAGTAATGGCATGGTTTGTTTGGTTTGATTTACGGCATGTCAATCTTAATGAGTTATTTAATGCCGACAAGATTTTTATTGCTGGTAACATTTTTTCTAAAAATCTATTGTTGGTATTTTTACACTTTCATAGTGTTTTGATTCCTAATTTGGGGGTTAACTATTTCTCCATAGTTGGGAGCTTAACAGGAACTAACACCTCAAGGTGGACCTGGGAAAAGCAACGATTAAGAGACAAAACCAAAAATAGAGTGTTAAAACGACGGTTTTTTCCTTGACACCGATATTATTTTAACTACCTGCACTCCTCGGCAATGCTTATTGTTTTAAAAAGCAATAATTAGAATAAAACCCGAACATATGATGAAAATTGATTTATACATTTTCTTTATTCTTTAGAATTTATAACAAAAATATTAAACATTATTTATTTATTAAATCTTTTATTTACAAGAATAATTTTATATTTAAAAAATTCTAAAAACTAATAAAATTGTGTTAAAATTAATGCAATGCAATATTTATCATTTACCAATTTATAAAGAAATAAATGTGTATTTTTTTTATTCATAAATTTATAAATATTTACTAAACTATTAAAATATGTGAGACAACTATAAGGAAATCCTTATTATTTACCATTTTATAAAGTACGAATCGATTGGCAATAAGCCGATGTTTTGCCAACCATTCTAATAAAAAAAATCCAATAAATAAATAGTGTAAATAAAAAATCTAATAAATAAATAGTGTTTATTATTTTTGTTATCGATTCTCAAGAACAAAGAAAATGTATAAATATTCTTTTATATGTTTAGGTTTTATTCCAATTCTAATCCTCGCTTTTAAAACAATGAACCTTACCGAAGAGTGTAGGTAACTAAAATAATAGCGGTGTCAAGGGAAAAATTGTCCTTTTGACATACCGTTTCTATTTTTTTTTTGGCAGGCAGGAAGATTAAACATTGCAAAATTGACCATCCACCTTATTCGGTAAATTTACCCCACCCCCAGTTAAGTTAAAGTTTTGCTTTCTTCCATTTCGTATGAAAATTCTATTCTAGGTTCGACTTTGTTTTGTTTTTTTCCCCCACAAGATCAGATCTCTTAAAAAAGCAGATAAACTTCTCCCTAACAGTAGATAAAATAACAAAAAAATTTAACATCTCAGCATTAATTAATACTATTTCATATTTAATAATAATTTTTATAAACAGAAATTTTGATTAGCAATGGGATAGTGTTGTTAGTGGAGTGATGGCATGTATTTTAGAATTTCTCGAATCTGCTTCTTTCCAAAATATTTTACCTAAACAATCAACATCCATCTGATATACTGATGATGCTCTATCAATATATCCCGTGATACTGATTTAACTGATCTTGTAG